CAACATCAAAACTACTAATGGCCATTGAAACTGTTAGGTTAGGGTTTGGGGTACCAAGCACCTGTTCCCGGGATGATCCTGGCAGAGAATGAGGAATACCAGTTGCTTCAGGAGGGTCAGGGTTGCCCCAACGAGACACGCCACAACTGCAAGGGAATACCTTGACTACAGGGGAGCTAGGGAATGAGGTGCCCTCAAGACTACCAGGTAACTTTGCAGCTTCATTCCTAAACTGCGTGCACAAGGACTCTTTGGATCTAGCGAGTAGACTCTACAGGGGGATAGATGGTCCTGATGCTCGGGTTTAGGGTCCACAAGGCCTACCCTGCACCGTAATCACCTCATTCACATACCCGAGGTTGGTCGAGCTTGCTTCCAAACTGCCCCTAGGCGGTTCTTGACTTCAGGAACTCTCTTATGCAGAGCTGCAGTTTAGGTATAGGGTTTAGGGTTTAGGGTTTAGGTTTTAAGGTTTAGGGTTTAGGGTTTTAGGGTTTACGGTTTAGGGCTCAGGGCGGTTTAGGGGTTTAGGGTGCAAAGCCCCAGTTTCTAGAAGCCCTACCCGCACCCCGCGTGCACCCCCTTCAACAAGAATCTTACTCAAGCAGGGGTAGGTACTTGGGGGTATCTTGGGGGGTCTAGGTATGAAGCCCTCAAAGCTGTCAGCTGTAGCCCTAAACCCTAAACCCTAAACCCTAAACCCTAAACCCTAAACCCTAAACCCTAAACCCTAAACCCTAAACCCCCATGGGCCGAGAACCATGGAGGTAGTTCAGTATCGGGTTGAAAGGGGGTTCGGCGTGCAGGGCTTTACTTCATCCCAAAAACCTAAACCCTACACCCTAAACTTCCATACCCTAAGCCCTAAACCCCGAAAAAAACCCAAAAAGCCTAAACCCTAAACCCTAAACCCTAAACCCTAAACCCTAAACCCTAAACCCTAAACCCTAAACCCTAAACCCTAAACCCTATCCTTGAAACCCTACACCCATCAACTTGTGTCGAAAGCCTAAACCCTTGACCCTAGCCCTAAACTCTGGGACCATTTCAAGTGGGCAGTTTCCCCCGTATACCCCTTAAACAACCTTGACATATCCCCCAGCGGCCTGAACCCTAAACCCTAAACCCTACACCCTAAACTTCCCTAAGCCTCTGTATAGAGGCCTTATACTATACCCCCCCAACCTAGGAACTCTCTTCCTGAAGTTGTCCTGGCTTTACTCGAAGGTTTAGGGTTTAGGGTTTAGGGCTTAGGGTTTTCTGGCGCAAGGCCCTGCGAGAGCTCCGCAAAATCGAAGGTGCTGGATGTCTGTCTCGCAGCTGCAGGGTCTGGGACAACCGCACCCTAAACCTTAAGGGTTTAGGGTTTAGGCTTAAGCCCCAACTACAAGAATCGGAAGCCCCTAACCCCCCACCCCCCCCCCCCCCCCCCGCCAACCACCCCCCCCCCCCCCCACCCCCCTCCCACCCCCCCCCCCCCCCCCCCCCCCCCCCCCGCCACCCCCCCACACCCCCCCCCCCCCCCCCCCCACACCTCCACACCCCCAACCAGGAATTAATCGAACGTGTCTGTGGCCTTTGAGCCTTGTCTGACGCACATCTGTTCTGGTGCCTTGTGAAGATTTCAGCACGTTGGAAATCAAAAGTTTTTAAACATAGCAACCCTGAACCCTAAACCCTAAACCCTGAATCCTAAACCCAAGAGCCTAATCCTGGCCCTGAAGCTATTTTGGGCCGAGCCCTTAAACCCTAGCCTGGGAGTGTAAGAGTTCAAGGTTAGCGTCTCAGGGTTAGGGGCAGATTGACGTTTAGGGCCTTAGGATGCATAGGAGTGTAAAGCACGTCGTTCTTGGCGCCGAATATCGCTAGCGGAACGCCCTTCGAAGGTACTTGCATGCGCCTAGTGTCTAGAGCTTGGGTTTCGGGATCCGAGACTTCAGCAAGGTAATAGTAATAATAGTAATAGTAATAGTAATAGTAATAGTAATAGTAATAGTAATAGTAATAGTAATAGTAATAGTAATAGTAATAGTAATAGTAATAGTAATAGTAATAATAATAGTAGCCCTAAACCCTAAGCCCGAAACCCTCTCCGCGAGACGGCTCAATGCTGGAGGAAGTGAAGTCCACAGCTGAGTCCCCGAGACAGACCCAAAAAAGACGTCTGGCATCTAGGACTCCGGATCTTCAGTATCTTGGGACAAGAGTTTCCCTAAACCATAACCTAGTTGTCCAGTAACCTGGGGGAATTAAAGGTTAACCTTTGGGATTATAAGGGGATTATACTACCCCAAAAAGGTTAAAGGTTGCCTACTCTACTACTAGGATAAAACCCTAAACGGAGCTATGCCTCGACTGATGAAGCCCCTAACTCTAAACACTAAACATTAAGCCTCAACGCCATGGTTTTAGGGGTTCATGGTTTTGAAAACACCTTGTTCCCAAAACACCAAACCCGGTACCAGGTACACCTTTCAGTCAGGCATCTGCAAGATATTGAAAGCATCAGGGTCTTTATCTCAGCAGAGTCCAACTTGCCCATACAACTACTGTGCACCTCACATGCCAATATCCTGACGTTAAGCCCTACAAATACAAGCCCTTACGCCCTCAAACTCTTGAACCTTCAGAGCCTTAAACTCTGAAAGCCTTAAGCCCTTAAACCCTCAAAGTCCTAAACCCTCAAACCCCAAAAGTCCTAAATCCTTGAAACCCTTAACACCTCAAAGCCAGAAGCCCTTACATCGTAAAAACCCCTAAACCCTTGAACGCATTAGAGCCGAAAGCCCTTACAACCTCAAACCCCTAACCCCTTACATTCTCCAACCCTCTAAACACACCAACACCCTAAAACCCTAAAACCCTGAAACTCTGAAACCCTAACACCATAAAACCTAAAAAATCTAAACCCAAAACCGCGACCCCGAGAATCCCAGCTGTGATCCCTCATTGTTCGTAGGATAGGGCTTCCGAATCTCCCTGCGTGCGCGTTTCGCGTCGGCAGGTAGTGGAGGCACGTGGACCGAAGGGCGACGGTCGGAGTGGTGATTGTTGGGGGTCTAGGGTTTAGGGTTTCTACTAGTTGCTTAAGATCCCCAAAAGAATAAGAATAACAATCCCTATATTACCCTTAATCAGGAAGATTCTTTTTTTGGGGGTTCTTGAGCAATTGGTAGGTTTAGTCTAGGATTCCAAGTATGGGCCCTTGCTTAGGGTTTCCAGGGTTTCGGGCTTGCCTGGGGGTTGAGGTTTGTAAGGCTGATTCCCGACTTCGCCGTCATCACGTTGCATTTCCGCGATGGATCTTTTCAAACCCGATAACAAGCCTGTGAGACGGCGCAGAGGCACCCAGCCAATGACATGGCAGTCCCTGCAGTGGTCGGAAACAGTCGAGGCAAGACCATTGTTGTGGACGATTGAGGAGTTCTACCAGTGATTAGACTGCTTGGTGTGCCAGTCACCTTCTTGCCAGTTTGCAACATCTAGCTGTCGAAAGTTTCCTTACTACGAGAAGCATGCAGATTTGCATACTTGCGGTAGATGCGTGACGACCTGCCGGGCCGGCGAAAGCTGAATCTGGATCTTGTAGAATTCTACGTGTGCCTTCTGGTATGAATGTCTGACCATATGGGGGGGGGGGGGGGGGGTGTCCGAAAATCGGGGTACCCTCTTTTGGGAGTCGCTTTCGGGGATTCTATTTCTTTTGGGGGAACCCCTAGGCATCTCCCATATTGCCGCATGTACGAGGCATTCAATGCCCTCTCCGGGAGTCCATACAGATGTAGTATAAATTGCGAAAAAAGCATTCGACGGTGGATTGCCTTTGCTCCGAAAGCTTACATCCCTCCAACCCTATATCCCACATCCCCCTGTCCTCAGCCCCAACCCCAAATCGTAAACCTCAATCCCTAAGAACGTATGTGGTCCTCTAGCGCAACCCTAAATCCCAACCTCAGACCCCTTAACCGCATATGGTCGCTTGAGCATAGAGAAGTTTCAGCCATCGCGAGCTATCACGGGGCAGGCGCATGAGGCGATCCCTGCAAAGGGAGCAGACCTGCCAGGGGAGCAAGGTGGTGTGGGCCTAAACCCTAAACCCTAAACCCTAAACCCTAAACCCTAAACCCTAAACCCTAAACCCTAAACCCTAAACCCGCCACCCCTCCCTCCGACCCAAACACCACATGGAAACCCCCCCAAAGCAACGAAGGGAAGGTTGGAGCAGGGTTTGGGCTCCAGGCTTGGGGCCTTAAAACCCTTAGGGGTTTAGGGTTTAGGGTTTAGGGTTTAGGGTTTAGGGTTTAGACCCAAGCCTTAAACTTCAAACCTTAGACGCAAGACCTCAAGGTTTATCGTTGGTTCTTGGGCTGTGCGAGGGTTTCTGTGGCGCTGGGCATCTGGCCGAAAGCCTCGCTTGCCAAGGATTTTGGGCTTCGGGCTTCAGGCTTAAGGTCTCGGTCTAGTTTAGGGACTTCAGGGTTTAGGGTTTAGGGTTTAGGGTTTCGGAGCCTCACTCGCGCGCTTCTTTCTCCGCATTGCACAGAGGCCTCTCTGCACAACAGCTATGTACATGGCGGTTTGGCTTGGACTTTCAGATTGGACCTTGGGATGTTCCTCCTTATAATACCAGCTCCTTATAATCCATTCCAAACCCATATGGCTAGTTCTCTACATTGGAAGGAGGGTTCTGTATGGGAGGGCTTAGGGTTTAGGGTTCGGGGGAACTAGGTTCCCCGTCCCCCCCCCCCCCCCCCCCATGGAATTAACCCCCCCCCCCCCCCGATTGTTGTAGTGCCCTCCTTGAAAAGTACCTTGGATCAATCATGCCGACTTTTTGCGGAACCCGCCGGTATCTAAACCCTAAACCCTAAACCCTAAACCCTAAACCCTAAACCCTAAACCCTAAACCCTAAACCCTAAACCCTAAACCCTAGACCCTAAACCCGAAACCCTAAACCCTAAACCCTAAACCCTAAACCCTAAACAGCACCTCTTTTGGCTCAGTCCTCCTCCTCTCCCTCGTCGGCATCGAAGCTTAAGCGCTGCTTCTTCGTCGAGAAGGCCCGGCTCGCCTGCAAGGTCTTAGACCTAAAGAAAGCCGTTTAGGGTTTAGGGTTTAGGGTTTAGGGTTTAGGGTTTAGGGTTTAGGGTTTAGGGTTTAGGGTTTAGGGTTTAGGGTTTAGGGTTTAGGGTTTAGGGTTTAGGGTTTAGGGTTTAGGGTATAGGGGTATTGTTTGGGATGTTCCCCCTTATACTTATAGCCCTTAATAAGGGGTTATAGTACCCCCCCCTAGAATCCCTTTTCAGGACTGCTAGTATAAGGGGGAACATCCCAACATTACATGGTTTCGGTATTACTTGTTACTGTCTTTGCATTGTTATATTACTGCTTTGGGGCTTCAGGGCGTTTGGGCTAGGGATGTTTAGCTCAAACCCCTAACCCACCCTAAACCCTAAACCCTAAACCCTAAATCCTAAACCCCAAACCCTAAACCCGAAACCCTGTGTTTAAACCTTCAAAAGCCCTTGAAAACCCTTAAATCACCTTTAACCCTTAAATCCTCGGACTCCAGCCTCGCCAGCCTCGCCGGCTTCAGCTCCGAGCTTCTTTGCCAGCTTTCGGGTCACGGCAGCGGTGGTTCTTCTTCCTTCCTTCCTGGGCTTTGGAGGGTTTAGGGTTTAGGGGTTCATAGGGTTTAGGTTTAGGGTTTAGGGTTTCGAGTTTAGGGTTTAGGGTCTTTGGGGTTTCGGGTTTAGGGGTTTAAGGGTTTTGGGTGTTCTTGATCCTTCTTTCCTTCCTTCCTTCCTGCCTTCCTTCCTAGGCTTTGGAGTGTTTAGGGTTTAGGGCTTAGAATTTAGGGTTTAGGGTTTTCTTCCTTCCTTCCTTCCTCCCTTCCTCGGCTTTGTAGGCGCATGGGTTTAAGGCTTGGGGTTGAGGATCTAGGATTGGTTCACTGGACCAAAGCTGCAAAGCCCAAAATGCAACACCCCCCCCCCCCCCGCCCCCCCCAACGCCGTCGGAGCCCAGAATCACTTCTCCCCACAAAAAACAGCCTAGGTTGCCCTGTAGCCTGGGACTCAAAATAGGTGCAATTGTTTTTGATTAACGGGGCTTATAAGGGAACCTCAACCCCCAACCCTGAACCCTAAACCCTAAACCCTAAACTCTAAACCCTAAACCCAAGACCTAAGGGTCCCAAAACAGCACAACACCTGTGATGCTTTTCCCAAGCCTGGCATCTTTTGGAACTTGACGGGCCCATCCTCCTCTGCTTGGGAGGATTTCGAACTTTGACTAAACCCTAAACCCTAAACCCTAAACGCTGGACCCTGGACTCCTAAACCCTAAACCCTGGACCCTTAACCCCGTTGGGGCTTGGGAGCATAGGCGGGCGTGGGAGCTGAGGTACAAGTCTTTTAGCCTAGACCTTAAACCCGAGCTGCACGTCCCTAGCCCTTGCGTAGTTCAGTTCAGATAGGTACCCCTGGTTACACTTTAGGGTTCAGGGTTTACTCAAAGGCAAACTTGGGGGGGGGGGGGGGGGGGGGTGGGTCAGGGAATCGGAACCCTCAGCATCCTAAAGCCGTACACTCCCAAAACCCAAGCCCAACAATCCAGACCTTCGAGCTTCAGGCTAGGTAGGTGTAGGGTTTAAGGTTTAGGGTTTAGGGCTTCGGGTTTCGGGTTTCGGGCTCAGCGCTTGACCAAGCCCTGTCCTCTGGGTTCGCCTCGTCCTTCGTGCCCGGAGCCGTGTTTGACGCCCCGCGCTTTCGAGCAAATACGCGGATCTCCTCACATCGCTTGTGCTACTCTAAACCCTAAACCCTAAACCCTAAACCCTAAACCCTAAACCCTAAACCCTAGACCCCTTGTATACCCCCAATTATACCCTATACATCCCAAGGAAGGGCCCATGAAGCTAGCCTGAGAGCTGATGGCGTTTCAGAGTCCTAGGAATGGACCAATCTAAGGGGCAAGGGTCCGGAATAGCCCTACACCCTAAACCCTAAACCCTAAACCCCAAACCCTAAACCCTAAACCCTAACCCTAAACCCTAAACTTTGTTGTTCTTCTTTTGGGGGGCGTTCGGGTTTGGGATTCAGGGGCTAGGGTCGGTATAGAGGCTTAGGGCTGAGGATGTAGGAGTTGTCGTATGTTGGGAACCTCTGAAGCTTGAAGCCCTTTAGGGTTTAGGGTTTAGGGTTTAGGGTTTAGGGTTTAGGGTTTAGGGTTTAGGGTTTAGGGTTTAGGTTTCAGGGTTCAAGCCGAGAAGAGTTGCCTCGGCAGTCAGGTCGCTGTCCACGATCTGCGCCTTGGCGAAACGTGGGGGGATGAGGTGTGTTTTCACGCCGAATATTCATAGAATTAATGAACCGGACCGGGTCCCCATATGAAGTGGGGGTCAAGCAACGCAGGCAAGGCGAGCAAGGCAAGTGGGGCAATAGCAATTCTGGAAAGGCAAAGAAGCCCATGCAAGGTAGGGACTCTAAGTAAGGGAGCCTCTTTTTGCGTGGCGCGAAAACACACTGAACCCCTAAACCCCCAAACCCGAAACCCCCTAAACCCTAAAATCATAATTACTCCCTAAACCCTAAACTCCTGCTCCCTAGACCCTAAACCCTAAACCCTAAACCCCAACTCCTCCTGAAGCGCCGAGGGCCCCGCATCCTCGAAGTCATACTCGTCCGCGTCGTTGCGTCCGAGGGGCGAGCTCCTGGGCGAGGTCGCGGCTTGTCTTGCTTAGGGCTTAGGGTTTTGGGGGTTTAGGGTTTAGGGTTTAGGGTTTAGGGTTTAGGGTTTAGGGTTTAGGGTTTAGGGTGTGGCGTTTAGGGTTTATGGTGCGGGGTTTAGGGTTTGGGGCGTGGGGTGTGGGCTGTAGGGTTGAGGGCCAAGTTTAGGGTGTAGATGTGTCGAGCGTCTGGGAAATCTCATTCTAATGATGCTTTTAGCCGGCTTTCGCGCTGCCACTTCGAGAATTGGTAAAAACCACCTCCTCAACATCGGAAAGCCTGAGCCCCAAACCCTACACCCTAAACACCCCCGCCTTATAACTCGTGCACAACCATGGGCCCTAAGCCCTAAACCCTAAACCCTAGACCCTAAACCCTAAACCCTAAACCCTAAACACCAGCTCCCAGATCCTAGCCAAAAGCACAACAAAGGGGAACCAACAAATGGGCGCTCTAAGGAATAGCTCGCAAGAGCTTTGAGAGTTTCCGGGACATTTTGCTACTCTAAGCCCTAACCCCTAAACCCCTAAACCCCTAAACCCCTAAACCCCTAAACCCCTAAACCCCTAAACCCCTAAACCCCTAAACCCCTAAACCCCTAAACCCTAAACCCCTAAACCCCCCCTAAACCCCTAAACCCCTAAACCCCTAAACCCCTAAACCCCTAAACCCCTATAAAAACCCTAAACCCCTAAACCCCTAAACCCAAACCCAAAACCCTAAACCCTAAAAACCCGGTTTTTTTTTTTTGGGGGGGGGGGGGGGTTGAGCTTTCTGGTACCCTGCCCTTCGTCCACTTCAGCCCTGAAGACAGCGATTCAATCTCCAGGTGCCCCACATATGCCTCCTTTTGCGATGTGCTTCATTTGGGCTTAGGGTTCGTTCGTGTCTTGTCGGGTCTAGGGTTTAGGGTTTAGGGTTTAGGGTTTAGGGTTTAGGGTTTAGGGTTTAGGGTTTAGGGTTTAGGGTTTAGGGTTTAGGGTTTAGGGTTTAGGGTGTACCTCAATACCCTGAACTCTATGCCCTTTGGGAGTTGTGTCGGGCGTCTTATCTCGCAGCTCTGCGTGGTTCAGGCCACGCTTGGCCTCGGAAGGCTTGTACTTTGCGTGGATTTCCTCGCGCCGCTGCGGAGCCCTCCCCCTTTTTTGGGGTTTAGGGTTTAGGGTTTAGGGTTTAGGGTTTAGGGTTTAGGGTTTAGGGTTGTGGGTGGGGGGGGGGGGGGGGGGGGGGGGGGGGGGGGGGGGGGGGGGGGGGGGGGGGGGGGGGGGGGGGGGGGGGGGGGGAGGTGGAAAACTTAGGTATCACTACCATTAAGAGTTCACGGTTTAGCGATTACTAGCCAGGGTCGACAATGCCAACCATGGTGAAGTTGAACCCTAAAACCTAAACCCTAAACCATTGCGGGCTTGCGGACTCAGTACTCTGTTGTAAACAGCCTGCACTCGGAGGCTCTTGGGTCAGTGTACTATAAGAAGTACGAGTACCCACACACCAACCAAACGGGTGTAGGGTTGAGGGCAACAGCAAAGTATTAAAGTCACACCACGACAAGAAGAGCAGCGTTAAACACATCCGCAATGTGTCCCGAAGCAAAAAAACTCTAAACGTTAAACCCTAAACCCTAAACCCTAAACCCAAGTAATCGACAGCCGAACGGCCAAAGTGAACCATCAATCATTCGGAAGCCAAAACCAAACGACAAGTAGAGCAGGATACTTCACAGGGTCGTCCCAAGGAGCACAAGAGTCGCAGACCTAAAGTCGTAAAACCCTAAACCCTAAACCGAAAGTCGTCGGGAATCTTTGGGGGAGGTTTGGGGAACCCTGCGATTGAAACCCTTAAGGCACCCATGCCAAAGCACTTGGAAGCCTTAAAGCTCTGAACCCTTAAGCCCTAAATCCTAAACCCTAAACCCTAAACCCTAAACCCTAAACCCTAAACCCTAAACCCTAAACCCTAAACCCTTCTGTCCTGGAGGAACTTCGGCATAACCTGGAGGCGGCTCACGTTGAAGCCACCACCACTCTTCTCGGCAGCTTTGCCTTGAGCGGGAGCGGCATAGGGTTTAGGGTTTAGGGTTTAGGGTTTAGGGTTTAGGGTTTAGGGTCTAGGGAGGGTCTAGGGTTTAGGGTTGAGGGTTTAGGGTTTGTGGAGCAAGTGTTCTCTAAAATGAGATCCCTTTTTGAGGTTGCTATTCCAAGGGTGCCGTGCTATATACAGGACGCCAAAAAGGGATCCTATTGTAGAGAGCTACACGTACACAATCATCATACTAGAGAAAGGAACCCCCACATAGACTCACCACTAAAAGGGATACAAACCCTGCCCGATAAAAAGGATGCCTATTTCGTTTAGAACGAGTATTTTGGGCAGTTAGACATTCAAAACCTACAGGCGACACACAAGGAGCAATGACTACGAGGTCTCCACCCTCCCTGCAATCCGAGGGTTTGGGGTTTAGGGTTTAGGGTTTAGGGAAGCCGTATGTCGTGCCCTGGCTATCATAAACCCTAGAACCCCAGAACCCAGAACCCTAAACCCTAAACCCTAAACGAAGCCGAGGCCGCAGTCCTACCCAATCCTAACACCTAAAGCGCGCCTCATTCTCAATGCACTACCCTACAAAATCTATGCACCCTAAGCCCTAAACCCCCCTACACCCTATAGACCATAGCATAGACCCCAATACAAACGCCATAGACCCTACACCCTATATAAACCACCTCAGGAAAAGAAGGCAGAGTCCCTTGAGAGGTGGGGGAATTGAGGGCTGAGTGGCGCTAGCATATCATGTTCCATCCAAGGATGCGGGTTTAGGGTTTATGGTTTAGGGTTTGGGGTGTGGGGTTGAGGAATTGGGGTTTGGGGTTTTGGGTTTAGGGTCCGCGCATCCACCTAAGCAAAGCGTAAACCCGAGACTGCTTGAATGATGCATTTGAGTTAAAAATACGAAATACGACCGCGAAGCTGAAGCCTTCATGTACACCAGCCCCGGAAAACCTCGAAACCCAAAACCAAGACCCTTACTTGCGTTTCTTATTCTATCTTTTTTCTTTGGGGGGGGGGGGAGGGTACATAGTTTTTTCTCGTTCCACTATACGAAGTACCACCTAAAATATTTTGGGGTACCCTAAATAACCCAATAAAGGCGGGGATCCACAAAGGGACCATGATTAAACGAACTGTCCTAAATTAAGGGGTATAAGGAGGGACCCCTAGAAGGGACCCTTAATCTTATACAACCCCCATATGTACCTTACATACTCCCTATATACCTAAGTAGCCCCTGAATAACCCCTAGATAACTCCTAAGGTCCCTTATAAGGTTCCCTCCTTTGGTCCCTTGATAACCCTAAACCCTAAACCCTAAACCCTGAACCCTTTTGCCCCGGCCTCCTTTCGCGCCTCCTCCTTTGCCTCCTCCACCTTTGCCGCCTCCGCCTTTGCCGCCTCCTTTTCCGCGCTTGCCGCCTTTTCCCCGGGGCCCCTCGTCGTCCGACATGGCGTCGCCGGCTTCTAGATCTGCGTGCTGCTATATGCGTATCCACATCTATATCTCTTTACATCTACAGATTATATATATGTCTATATATATATACACATATATGGAGGTTTACGATTATAGGGGACCCCTAGAATAGAGCCCCAAATAGTAGGATCCCCTTATCATAAGGACCCCAATAAGGTACCCCTAACTTCGTAAGCCCCCATATGTACACATATATATATATATACGGATAGAAATACCCACAGATAAGGTGCAAGCAAAACACACACATACCACAGACCATGAGCATGCCTCGTACTCCTTCTTGCATTCAGACGTGAGCTGTCCAGCAAGGCACCCAAAATAACCCTCAACCCTAAACCCTAAACCCTAGACCCCAAAATCTAAAACCTAAACCCTAAACCCTAGACCCCAAAATCTAAAACCTAACCCGAAACTGGGATGCTCGAGGCCGAAGGGGCTGGGGTGAAAGAGCCAAGCGGGAGATCGGTTCCTCAGGGGGGTTTTGGGGTTTAGGGTTTAGGGTTTAGGGATCCGGTCTTACAGAAGATGCTCGGGTTTCTTAGGGCTCGCGGCCTACAGACCGGCCTACAGACTCTCAACGGTTGCACTAGGCGTCCTAAACTCACTAGGGCCTGTCAAGCCCTAAGCTCCGTAATTCTGTAGACCTTCTTAGCCCTTAAAGCCCTAGTACAGTACCCTGTAATCCCCTTTAAACTGTATCACCCTGTAGAAGAACCTACTGGTTTTCAGCAAAGGCACGACATATCCCCTTATTTATACCCGGTAAGGGTTCATTAGGCCCAAGAGTAACCTAGAAATAAAAAGGGTGCCCTTTTTGGTTTGCCTCAAACGCTCAGAGCGGTTTAGGGTTTGGGGTTTAGGGAGTTTAGGGTTTAGGGTTTGGGGTTTAGGGCTTAGGTTTTAGCTTAGGTTTTAGGGTTTAAGGGGGGACAAAAGGGGGTTCATGGGGTTTTGGATTAGGGTTTCGGGGTTGGTTTGAGGCTCAGGGTCTTGCAGTTGCCAGTGCCCTAAGCCTAAACCCTGAACCCCAAACCTTCAAACCCTAAACCCTGACACCCTGTACCGCACTCAGGGAAGCATCCCATCTCTCTTGCATTCTGACGTCAAATATGTTATCTAAGGCGCCTGAATGATTGGAATAAGGTTTGGGGGGGGTCATTGTAGCCTAAAGATAAAGGAACCATAGGGGAGTACTTTTCGTAATGGTTCCGACACCTATAATAATTAACATGGGACGGCCTTTAAGTGCAGTAAAAGAACATGTTCGCAACTGACAAACAATGCTTACAACAACTTATTTGTCGAATAGTTATTCCAGGTTTTCAAATATACCAGCAACGGGATCGTTAAAACAAACAATCGCCGTTCGTATGTTGTGTGGAAGATTCGTTGAATATGTATTCGATGGCAACAAAAAATGTAGTCTTTGCAGTTCCTAAATTCCGAAAGCCTCAACCTCTGAACCCCAAAAGGGGAGTTCGAGGTTTAGGGTTTAGGGTTTAGGGTTTGGGTTTAGGGTTTAGGGTTTATGGTTTAGGGTTTAGGTTTTAGGGTTCCAAGGATTTGGGGAGTCAGGTTTTCGGGTTTGGGCTCGTGTCGTTGAGGGTTGTTGGGCCCCACCTCAAACGCCGAGACCGCCGCCGTTGCCATCGACCGCTCGCATCATGTGCATGAACTCCTGCATTTGTCTAGTGCCTGGACCTTAAACCCTAAACCCTAAACCCTAAACCCTAAACCCTAAACCCTAAAGCGCCCTAAGTTCGTTGGATGGACCCGAAGCCCTTTGGCCCTAGACTGCAAACTCTAAACGGAAAGCCCTAAAGAAACAAAAAATCAGGACTACATAATGAAAGCCAGCGACAGGTGGGTCGTTACCCTAACCTGAACCCTAAACCCTAAACCCTAAACCCTAAACCCTAAACCCTAAACCCTAAACCCTAAACCCTAAACCCTAAACCCTAAACCCTGTTTACAAACAGTTCAGGGCTCACACATGCCTTCTGAGACTCTTGCAAGGGGAGCGATTTCAAAATAACTGAGCACTACACCGTAAACCCAAAAATAAAACGAGCACAGCAACACCCTAAGCTTTTAAGCCTTAGCACTACCCCTAAACCCTAACTCCTACACCCTAAACCCTAAACCCGAAACCCTAAATCCTACACCCTAAACCCTAAACCCTAAACCCTAAACCCTAAACCCTAAACCCTAAACCCTAAACCCTAACAGCAAAAAAAACACACCAGAACACACACCGGCTCCTGGAAGTCTATTTCGCCGTCGCCGTTTTGGTCGACTTCCTCGGGCACGGCAGCTGTGAGGGCCAGGTATGATCGTTTAGGGTTTAGGGTTTAGGGTTTAGGGTTTAGGGTTTAGGGTTTAGGGTTTAGGGTTTAGGGTTTAGGGTTCAGGGTTAGGGTTTCGGGTGGGGTGTAGGGTTTAGGGTTTTAGGCACCCTAAACCCCAAACCTAATTCGTAAACAACCCCCAAAACCCCAACCCCAAAACCTTTAGGTGAGGGCTTTAGGGGTTGAGAGCTTAGGATGGGTTAATTCGGGCTTTAGGGAAGTGTAGGGGTTGAGGGTTTAGGGTTTAGGGTTTAGGGTTTAGGGTTTAGGGTTTAGGGTTTAGGGTTTAGGGCGTTGAGGAGTTCAGGGTTGAGGGGGTTAGGGGGTTCAGGGGTTTATCGGGTTTAGGATGGATTGTTAGGGTTTAAGGCTTGAGGTCACTGGGGTAGGTTTGGGGGTCCTGCAAAATGAAAAAATTGTGGCTTTGTGAGGATGATATTGGGTTGTAGCAGAATAAAAATGCAAACTATGTTCAAACCTACAAAGCAATGAGGATGATATTGGGTTGTAGCAGAATAAAAATGCAAACTATGTTCAAACCTACAAAGCAAGCCACCCTCATGACTAAACCCTGAAATTTGTTGATGCACCTGCAATTGTGGGCACCCCGACAAACAAACACCCTCCTTACCCAACGCCCCCTAAAGCCGAATCACAAGCCCCAACTCCCTAAACCCCACAATCCCCCAATATCGAGAAATCCTACTAGGCCCAACGTCGTGCCGAACAGTGCCAAGGCCACGGCATTTAAAAGCTCAGCTATGTCCTTTTGCGCGACAGCGGCAACGGCTCCGTCGCTTAGGACCTGTTTTGGAGGGGCAGGTTTGGGGGTGAAGGTTTACGTTGGCGGGCTTCAGGTTGAATTAGGGTTTAGGCCTCAGTCCCTCAGCCCTAAGCTCAGTGCCTCAACGCTAAACCCTCAACCCTATACATCCCCAAACAGCGCACTGTTTGGGGGTCCGCCGACCCTAAACCCTAAACCCTAACCCTAAACCTTCAAAACCCCTAAAACGGGGTAAGGAAACTTGATGGCTGCCCCCCCCCGCAGCGCTCGTGTGCGCGCTCTTGGCCTGGACGGTGCTTGCTGTGAGGGGGGGGGGGGGGGGGGAGACTATAATCCCCAATCAAGGACGGTTAGAGAATAAGGGGGAAAATTCCAATCTATATACTATATTGGGGAGTTCTCTAAGTCCCTAAAGTATCTAACTTAGAGATTCCACCAAAAAACAAAGCTGCCAGAACAGCCCCTCCCTCTCGAGGGCTTGGGCTTTGGGGTTCGGATTAACTAGACTGAACTTGGAGCCCTATAAGAAATACAATATTAGCTGTTTCTTAGAGTTTCTAAGTATCCCAAAGTTAAAGGTTTCAGGACACCAGCTTGCCTGAGCCAGCTCGTCCTTGCTAATGGTACCCGAGCCGTCTTTGTCGAACACCCTGGCCATTGGTTTAGGGTTTAGGATTTAGGGTTTAGGGTTTAGGGCTTGTATAGGGTTTAGGGTTTAGGGTTCTTAGGGTGATCCCTTTGGTCCCTTCGTATGGGCCCTTAAGAAGGGGACCCTCTTAAATACCCTTTATATACCACATACAACCCAGGGCTTTAGAACCATTTAAGGGACCACATTCAGAGCCCATATAACTAGCCTTAGACAGTGTGAAGCTTGTGGCCGAGGGACCTCGTTTAGGGTTAAGGGTTTTGGGCAGGTATGACAAAAGTCAGAAGTATGTCCCAAATGAAGGTGAACGTCTAGTTCACTCTAGCTACCCTACTTACAACACCGGCCACACCTTGTCCTGAACCTCCATTCTAGGGGGCTAAACCCTAAAACCCTGAACCATACACCCTAAACCCTAAGCTTAAACCGTAAGCGCGTGCCGCGCTCCAGACTCTCCTAAGGGCCCTAAACCCTAAACCCTAAACCCTAACCCCTAACCCCTAACCCCTAAACCCTAAACCCTAAACCCTAAACCCTAAACCCTAAACCCTAAACCCTAAACCCTAAACCTCCAGCCAAGAAAACGAAACATTTTTCGGGGCCCTTGGACAACAACCAACTGCGGACCTTGAACCCTAAACAGCCCTAAGAAGCCCCAAGCCCTAAACCCTGTAAACCCTATAAGCCCATACACCCAGTAAACACGAAAAAACCCTAAAAACCCTACTAACCCTGCAAAACCCTAAACAACCCTATGGACCCTAAAAACAGCCCTGAGCCCTAAGGCAAGGCCAGACCCTAAACCCTAAACCCTAAACCCCAAACCCTAAACCCCAAACCCTAAACCCCAAAACTTAAGCCCTAAGCCCTAAGCCCCTCAAGCCCCTCAAGCCCCTTGAGCCCAAATCCTGCCGCGCCTGAAGGCAGCCCAGCAAACATCTTCTGCGATGTAGTTTTTCCTGGCAGGCCCGTCTTCCTGAAGCCTAGCCTTAACCCTAAACCCTAAACCCTAAACCCTAAACCCTAAACCCTAAACCCTAAACCCTAAACCCTAAACCCTAAACCCTAAACCCTAAACCCTAAACCCTAAACTCTAAACCCTAAACCCTAAACCCTAAACCCTAAACCCTAAACCCTAACCCTAAACCCTAAACCCTAAACCCTAAACCGTGGCCAGAAGGTAAGCCCGGGTTTAGGGTTTAGGGTTTGGACCCAGGATGCTCAGTGCCTGGGACTCTTGGTCTTGACCTTCTAGGAAGCTACCGAGATCAGGGTTCAGGGTTTCGGAGAAATTAAGGCCTCATTTGGGAATGGATTCTGATACGGGCCCATAATATGTAGGGTACACACACACACACACCGGCCCGTATGTGCTGTAAACTCCATTCGCACCTATTGCCCCTGGTTGAGGGTGGACCGGCAAAGGTCAGATTTCAATTCTCCACACCTTTCCCGGGTTCTGTTTTTGGTTCAGGGTTTACGGTTCAGGTTTGAGGGTTTAGGGGCATATCAAAACAGGTTAAGCCCGGTGGTTCTGCTACAGGTCCTACTTAGCAGCCCCACTTCCACAGCTACCTACTGTACAAAGTCCCCATCCTCCGAGTAGGGCTTAGGCTGGGTTCTTGTTAAGGAACTGAAGTAAAGTCATAACAATGTAGGGTTTAGGGTGTAGGGTTTCGGGTTTAGGGTTAAGGTACGTGAAATGCTATGGTATGCCTATCATGGTAACGTAGACCCTAAACCCTAAACCCTAAACCCTAAACCCTAAACCCTAAACCCTAAACCCTAAACCCTAAACCCTAAACCCTAAACCCTAATTAAACCCTAAACCCTAAACCCTAAACCCTAAACCCTAAACCCCAATTCCTAATCCCTAATCCCTAATCCCGAATCCCTAATCCCTAACAAGAAATCAACTTTGCAGGTGCGGCGGCTCTTCCGCCGGCTAGGCTCGTGGTGCTGCGTGGTTGCTGTCGGTGCTGTCCCCACAACGAACCGAACCCTAAATTCCTGAACCAAGATCACTGAGTCTTGCATCTGGGTTTAAGGCTTACCTAAACCCTAAACCCTAAACCCTAAACCCTAAACCCTAAACCCTAAACCCTAAAGCAGAGGGTTCAGGGCTCCGCGCCCGCGAGGTCAAGGGCTTTAAAGGGCACAGGGTCAGTTTTCGAATAAGGTCCCTCATCGAATGCATCCCTCGATTACTAGGGTATGGCTCCCTAACCCTAAACCCTAAACCCTAAACCCTGAACCCTGAACATCCCCGAACCCTAAACCCTATGCAGTCGCCTGTCGAGCGTGGCGGCCAAAAACTCTGTATAATCGATCGTGCCTCGGTAGGAGATCAAGGACAGTTTGAAGAGGGGGTGTTCAAAGAATATAGATTATTCACACACACGCACACATATGTATACATATGTATATGTATATATTTATATACGTACATATATATCTACACACACACACACTTACCCTAAGCCCTAAACCCTAAACCCTAAACCCGCAACCCTTATAGGGTACTTTGATGAAGCTGCCCACCGGAAATTGAACCCGTCAGCGTACAAGTTCGGGGAATGCGAACTTGGAGAACACCCGCATGGTTTTAGGGTTTGGGGTTTACGGTTTAGGGACACCCTTTTTTGGATGCCAACCATATTCCCGACCATGTCCGCTTTAGGGCTCAGTTCAGTGTTTAAGCACAATACCTTTCTTGTACCCCACGCCACCCAGTTCCACAGCAGGCCTATTAGAGTTTAGGCCTTATGGCTTGGATAGGTAGGTACAAGCACCCGAAAGGGACGCTAGTTGGAGCTGTCCTGCTTCGTAACCTGACCTTTTAGCTACTCACTAAGCTCCCCGATCCTCGAAGCAGGTCCTTCGACTGGGACCCGAAACTCCGGCAGTAAAACCTCGAAATCCTAACGTATCAGGGCTTTAGGGGTTTAGGGCTTCTGGCTCAGGGTCCACAATCACCAACGATTGCAACAACGTTCCAAAGAGGATTGCTGGGTAGAGACCTGTCAGGATTTCAATGCCCGGCTTGGTATTCCATCCGGGCTTTTCGGACCTGGCAGGGTCAGGAGCACTGAATCCCAAGCCCTAAGCCCTAAAGCCCTAAAGCCCTAAAGCCCTAAAGCCCTAAAGCCCTAAAGCCCTAAAACCCTAAACATATACCCCACCTGTGCAGCTTGGGTTAATGGGTTCGAGGTCCCCAAGCCCTGAGCTCCAAACCCCGAGCACAAAGGGCTTAGGTCGTCTTTAATGGTTGGGGTCTAAGGTTTAAGGTTTAGGGTTTAAACCGTAGAGTCTGTAAACCCTAAACCCTAAACCCTAAACCCTAAACCCTAAACCCTAAACCCTAAACCCTAAACCCTAAACCCTAAACCCTAAACCCTAAACCCTAAACCCACCCTAAACCCTAAACCCTAAAAACCCTAAACCCTAAACCCTAAACCCCCCCCCCCCCACATGTTTAAAAAAAAATTGTCTCAGCTAGGCCACCACTTCCATTGCTGTCCACATCCTTGATGATGTCATTCAGCTCGGGCGGGATTTCAGTCATGCCCGCCTGCGGAGCTCTCTCAAAAAAAGGTTTAGGGTTTAGGGTTTAGGGTTTAGGGTTTAGGGTTTAGGGTTTAGGGTTTAGGGTTTAAGCAAGTTTTTTTTGTTTGTTTTCTCTCACTCTCTCTCTCTCTGTGCGTGCCTCTTTTTGTTTTTTTAGTTCTTGCACACTTGTGGCTTTTGGCTGGGGATTTGCGATTTTAGGGTTCGAGGGCTCCGCATATCAAGAGGAAGGGGGGCCTATCTGAAATCCCAAACCCTCAAGAGGGTTTAGGGTTTAGGGTTTAGGGTTTAGGGTTTAGGGTTTAGGGTTTAGGGTTTAGGGTTTCCAAACACCTCTGAACACTGTTCAACCCCTAAGTCCCTGTGGCCCCCCAAGGCCCCAAAGGCCCGTAAACCCTAAGTCCCTGAGTCCCTCAGGCCTCAACCACGAAACCCTCAACCCTCAACCCTCAACCTTAAAGTTTAGGGCGCCCTAAACCCTAAACCCTAAACCCTAAACCCTAAACCCTAAACCCTAAACCCTAAACCCTAAACCCTAAACCCTAAACCCTAAACCCTAAACTTTAGGGTGCCCTAAACCCTCAACCCAAGGCACTGCCACGGGGATGTGGTGTCGGTCTGTATAGGGTTTGAGGGTCTAGGGTCTTGGGCCCTCAATTTGGGGTCCCTTGTTACAGAACCTATGTATACACTAACAGTCACTAACATGATAAGGGCCCATCCTCCCGATCCCTATAAACAAGGGCAGGAACCATACTAATGGCCCACGTTTCCAACCTTAGATTTGGGGTGTTCGGGCTTTAAGGTTTGGGGGGGGGGTTAGGGTTTCAGGCAGCTTTCTGAGCAACACTCGGGCCCAGTTCCGAGTTTTGATAGACCACTCGCACACTCATGCCCATGCCCGAGACAAAGATGACACCAATGCGGAGAGCAGCTTGGCGTTTTTCCCTCGAATGCGGTCATTAGCCATGGATTGCTTGCGCTTGCGCTAGTTGTGCGATCAGCCGGGGCACAGTCCCCTTCGAGTGCCTGATCCCATCAACCGATGTGGCGACTACCAAGCGGAAGCTCTTCCATGCGTGCCAGCAAACTCGTGTTTTGTTTTCGAAGGCTTATGTTGGGACTGAAAGACCCGAGAAGATTTGTGAACGCACGCAGGGTTTAGGGTTTAGTGCTTAGGGTCTAGGGTTAGGGTTCAAACCCACAAACCCCTAAACCCTAAACCCTAAACCCTAAACCCTACACCCTAAACCCTAAACCCTAAACCCTAAACCCTACTTCAAACGTGGCCTTCTGCATGCCTTCCTCGAGCTCCTTTGCGGCACGTCAGCGACTTCCGGATTTTAGTTTAGGGTTTAGGGTTTAGGGTTTAGGGTTTAGGGTTTAGGGTTTAGGGTTTAGGGTTTAGGGTTTAGGGCTTAGGGCTTAGGGTTTAGGGCTTAAGGTTTAGGGTTTCAGGCTTTAGGGTTCTCACGTCGGATACCTTTCCGAGCCTTCGTGCTAAAAAGTGAATATAAGAGTGTGTAGGTGCTAAGGGCCATGGAAGGGCTATAATACGGGAAACTACTGCCCCAGAGATTTCCCGAGCCCCTCAAGAGCCTTCGTTGGGGTACCCCCAAGGTATCTGAAAACCCTGAACCCTAAACCCCAAACCCGAAACCCCTAAACCCCTACACCCCAAAACCCTAAACTCCTAAGCCCCAATCCCCAAACCCTAAACCCTGCGGACCTAGATTGAGGGTCAAGCTTTGGGCTACAGGGGCTCGAGGGGGCTTTGGTTGCAGTTCTCCACAGTGTGGGATTTTGGGTTTAGGGCATACGATTTAGGGCATGTTCTTCAGGCCTGTATATGGTGTGCCCCGGTGCCCCCCCCCCCCCCACAACAGCAGAGCCCCGTCCTTGACTGTCAGAAGGCCATCGCCTCAGCAAAGCTCTTGAATTTGGGTTTAGGGTTTAGGGTTTAAGGTTCAGGGTTCAGGGTTGAGGGTTTAGGTTTTCAGGTTGAAGTAGGGACTCAAAACTTGGTTCTTCACGTTGGCTCAAGACTAAATAACCGACCAAAAGCCCTGATTTGGGGCACCAAACCCCTACATTAACCCTAAACCCCTAAACCGTAAACTACTGTTTACTTAAGAATCCCAAACAAAAACAACAATGAGCACATATGCTTCCTTATCAGGGTAACATGAGGTTAGTGTGTATATATATATGAGAATATATATATATATAATTTCTATTATATATATATATATATATATTTTTTTTAGGGGGGGGGAGGGTTCTTAAGCAAATAGTCGTAAACGCAAAAAATCCTGCTACCCTCCACGTCCTAAACCTTGAACACCTGCCAAAAACAAAAGCAGAAAAGGCCCTGGGACACGGGCCATCCTCGTCCATGGCGATGAAAGTTTCCCGCAGATCCTTCGGAAGGAACAGGTTTCGGGTTTAGGGTGTATAGGGTGGAGGGATGTAGTTTAGGGCTTGGGGGCGGAATAGGGCCGCCAAGCGCTCGCTGGCTGAGGTTTCGGGGGCGGGAGCGGGGAAGGTTCACCTTTTTGAATACTTGAGTCGCGCTCCTGGCATAACCACACAGGTGAAAGGCTATCTGCTTAGCACCTAGAGGCATTGTTAAAGTTTACCGGGGTAAAGGGCTTGAGTTTTTGGGATGCTAAAGTGGTTTAGGGCCTATAGAGGTTTAGAGTCCTTACAGTAGTTTAGGACATTTTAAGGGAAGTATGGGATTGAGGAGTATCAGGGTGTGTCCCTAAGCCCTATATGAGGGTTTGCCTTCTTGGAGTCCTCTTTTAAAAAAGAAGATCCTAACCCTAAACCCTAAACCCTAGTATTGGGGGGCTCAATAATAGGGTCCCTTATTCTCGTAAACCCCCATATGCCACAAATCCCTAGGGCTTGCGGCCTCTGCAGCTGCATGGATTTCCTTCCCCGGTTTAGGGTTTAGGGTTTAGGGTTTAGGGTTTAGGGTTTAGGGTTTAGGGTTTAGGGTTGAAAGGTTTAGGGTCGTTGGCGCTGTCATGTGGTTTGGAGGACTTCTCATGGAGGGTCCAATTGCTAAACCGGAAACATTCTATAGAACCGTAATCTGAACGCGCATGCACCCAAGACCTTCTAAACCCCTAAGCACCTTAAAGACCTAAGACAAGTAGGCGCGCTTGCCTTGATCTGCGCGTCACTCATCTGGCTTGCAATGACGTGGAGGGCCGCCTTCTTCAGCTTGTTCCTGGCGGGGGTTCGGGTTCGAGTTTCGGGCTTAGGGTTTTAGGCTTAGGGCTTTTGGGGTAGGCTTTATAAGGGTGGTGTAGGGTTGACGGACTGACAGTCCGCTGCCCAACCCTGAGACGTGTGGCTGACCGGAACCCTAAGCCTTAAACCCTCAAGACAAAATCACATAGAAATTGTACGTGGCATCGTTCTGAACTTCCCATGCTATTAGTCTACACAGCTGAAACGCCGAGCTTAAGTAAGTCAATCCAAGCGCCTCTGGAAGGCCAAACGCTGAATTTACTTAAACCTGCGGGGCCTTCCCCTCCAAGCTCCACAATGCCCAGCCGCTCAAAACTTCGTTCAATACCCTTCGTTGAAAACGTTATTGGGACACAAACGCTTCGATCAAACATCGAGTTAACATTTTCACGTCCGGTCATGTTTCGGTTCCCTCAAAACTTTCTCGGACAAAAGCTCCCGGAACATCCCCCAAATGAAAAACATAGTTCCAAAAAACAAAACGCTTCGTTCAAAACGTTTCGTTCAAAACGTTATTGGGACCCAAGCCCTATACAATTTCTATAAACCATAAACCCTAAACCCTAAACCCTAAACCCTGCCACCCTTGGGCGCCTTTTAGGGCCTTCGCAAAAAGCATGGAGCCTGCGGCTAAGCCTGTGTCTTCAGGGGACCCTTGACCCTAAACCCAAAACCCTAAACCCTAAACCCTAAACCCTAAACCCTAAACCCTAAACCCTAAACCCTAGACCCTAAACCCTAAACCCTAAACCCGTGAAGGGACCGAAGGAGCGCGTGCAAGGGTTTAGCCCCTTGTATACCCTGTAAACCCTGATTTAGGGTTTGGGGTTTAGGGTTTAGGGTTTAGGGTTTAGGGTTAAATGCTGTAAACCCTAAAAACCCTATAAACCCAAGACACGCAGTTCTTAAAGTCCCTGAGGCCCTTGACCCAATTAATATCCTCTAAGCCTCGAACCCCCCAAATACAAAACCCTTGAACCCCCAAACCCTAAACCATTAACTTACGAATGTAGGGGCCTGAATAATTAGCATAGCGTGTTTGGGGGTTGCTATGGTAATCATACAGGGACCACCAGGGAATACTATTGGTGATTTTTCCGACCTGGTCCCTCAAGCCAAAAGTTCCCGAAACACATGCATGGGCCCCGCTGAGATCGGAAGCCCTTGAGGTTGTCCACCAAGCCTCAAGTGGCTGGTTTAAAGTAACAGGGCTTAAACGGTTTAGGGTGGTTTAGGGTTTAGGGTTGAGGGTTTCTTGTTGACAGCAGGAAACTATTGCGGTTCTTTCTGGCTGGCTCTGAGTATGCGGCCAAGTCCCTTAATTATACCGCAACTTCACCAGGTCTCCCTACTGTTCAACATGTTTCCTCATTTCCTCATGGCCCATGCAAGCAATATCGGGGGTCCGCATAATTACTGAAAATATTCCCTTAGGGTCCCTTGGTAAGTATAGCTTAACAACCCCCGAAACCCTATTCTCACTTTTCAAGCCCCTATATTGTTCAGGGTATGCTTGGGCTTACAGCGACTTGGAGAAGGGCGGGGGCGAAGAGTAAATGAGGTGGGAGCCCCAAGATCAAGACCCATGGAACATGGGTTTAGGGTTTAGGGTTCAGGGTTTAGGGTTCAGGGTTCAGGGTTCAGGGTTCAGGGTTTAGGGTTTAGGGTTTAGGGTTTAGGGTTTAGGGTTTAGGGTTTAGGGTTTAGGGTTTAGGGTGAACATAGTAGGTATCACCGTCGTGCAAGGACCCTTGTGTCTGTATCCCTACTATATGCCTCCTCTATTCCGAGAGTCCCCATGTGAGGAGGTTCCCATGATAAGCATATACTTGCTTCAGGTACTCCAAAAGCCCGAAAAAACAACAATCCTAAGTTCCCCTTATAAGGAAGAGCATATGCATATACAGATACATATATATATATACACACAGTTACACACACATACATGTTTTTTGCTTGTGTTGGGGGTCTTAAGCAAACAGTCGTATAGTGTGGACCTTCATCGTGGCCTCCGGCGGAGCAAGACGTAAGCTTTGGGAGCCCGTTGAGGCTTGGTGGAAAGAACGTCGGAAAACTGGGCTGGCTGGGTTTGGTTCCTTGGTAACCTAAATATGTTGGCCAAAACCCTGAACCCTAAACCCTAAACCCTCAACCCTTAAACCCTTAAACCCTAAACCCTTAAACCCTAAACCCTTAAACCCTAAACCCTAAGCCCTACACCCTAAGCCCGAACCCCTTAAACCCTACACCCTAAGCCCTACACCCTAAGCCCGAACCCCTAAACCCTAACCTCCCTTAAGCCCCCACTCCGAACCCACGGGCCCCCAGACCTTAAGTACGGCTTTGGGGCTTTGGGGAGTAGGGAAGCCTGGAAGCTTAAAACCCTAAGCCCTAAGCCCTAAGCCCTAAGCCCTAAACCCTAAACCCTAAACCCTAAACCCTAAACCCTAAACCCTGAACCCTGAACCCTGAACCCTGAACCCTGAACCCTTTATATCAAGGGAGTCATACTTGGACCCCTTCAGGATGTAGCCCTAAGAGTTCACTTCGTATGCTCTGCAAAACTCCCCTTATATTCCCTCAGAGGATCGTGACAGGGTCTCCAAACCCAAGGCAACCTACAGGTCCCCTGATCAATTCTTAAATAACTTAAATAACCATGAACCCCCTAAACCCTAAACCCTAAACCCTACACCCTAAAACCACAAA